TGTCCTATCTACATGCTTAGCGTATCATCACATCCCTTCTCCCCCACCCCTCTGCTCAGTCACCCTATTATCCTTCCTCAATACTCGACTACCTCCACCGTAATAAACAACCCTATACTCCCCTAATCCTGTAAGTGACCAGATGAATGCGGGACGCCAACGCCCCCACCCCCCCTCCTGATTATGAGATGCGCTGGGGGGAAAGGAGAGTTGGGGTCTGACTACAGCTACCAGTGTCTGGCAATCAACGTGAACTACTCGTGACTTTGACTCTCATGCTATCATCATGTTATTCCTAATCCCTTAAATTCAAAGATTTCTGCCTCCTCCTCCTCTCCCCTCGGCAGGCCATGAAGACCGAGGGAAGCCTGTCATGCTTGTCAACCTCCCTCCATCTCCTCCACTTTCGTCCTCCCCTCCCCTCCCTCCATCCCCTCCCCTCTCTTCCTCCCCTTTCCGCTTCTAGCTTCCTCTCCTCTCCTTCAATCTCCTCACTTTCCTTCATCTCCTACTGTCCGTCCTCCTTCCCGTCCTCGTTTCATCCTCCTCACCTATCAAGCCCTGCGGATTCCTGACGGATAGAACCTCTCCTGTGAAGATGTGACAACAAGCACCAGAGAGAAACAAGAAGCAGTGTTGGGTTGGGAAAGGACGAGGGAAGGCAGAAGAGAAAGAGGCTGAGCAGGAGCAGGAGCAGGAGCAGGAGCAGGAGCAGGAGCAGGAGCAGGAGCAGGAGAGCGGGAGCAGGAGCAGGAGCAGGAGCAGGAGCAGGAGAGCGGGAGCAGGAGCAGGAGAGCGGGAGCAATGTATGGGCAGGAGGAAGGAGAGCAAGATCTCACGTTTCTCACGCTCGCCGGCCCACCGCGCGACCTCGGATCGGATGTAAGCCGGGTTGACCAACTGCTGAGGGTCAGCAGGCACACAATCGCGTCCTCCTTCACCGAAGTCGAGATGATCCCTGGAGCTGGGCCCGGCCACTCGCTCCTATCTGCGGGTGAGGTCGAGGTGGAGGGACAGCTGGGAGAATGAACCTTTTCAACGTCATCAAGGTCTTGCCATCAGTGTCCGGCCATCCCCAGTCTTCATCCACGTGCTGGGGGAGGGGGAAGTGACGTCAGCAAAAGACAAGAGCGAGGGAGATCGAGACACCTCCTGCTCCTGCTCCTCCTCTCTTTCCTCCTCTACCCCGAGCTTCTTGTCCTGCCAGAGTCTTCAGCCATGCTCCCCTCCCCTCCAGCTGTCAACCAGCAGGCAGTAGGCTTCCTGCACGCGCAGCTGCTCCTTGTCGATCTCGCAGAACATCTTCTTCCCGTGTTTCTGCGGGTCGTTCACGTGCTCGCCCTCTCCCGCTGACGTCAGACCTTGTTGGGATGCCCTACCATCTTCCTCCTCACGTCCACCCTCAAGAACGTCTGTGTCGAGCGGCCCAAGAGCCTCCTGCGAGCCTGTCAGTCCCAGCCGTTACTCATAACCTCCCACCTCTTTTGCGCGAAGTTGCTCTGCTTCGGCAAGAATCGTTGGTGTCCGAACTCGAAGCCTCCTGACGGCTCAGTTAGATGTGCCTCGTCCTCCTCCCCTCCTCCTCTTGCACACCCTCGGGCTCCAACTCAGCAGCACAGTACCACTCTCGGGCCTTTACCTGGACGAGACAGTCAGGCTGAGAAGGACGAGGTGAAGACTTACCGTTCCATCCTCCGCCACATCAGCCGTGACCTCCCACAGCATAAATCCTTTCTGATCTCTCCACTCGTCGTCCACCACAATCGCAAACCACGTTTCCTCCTTACTCTCATCGCTCTTTCTCGGAGATCTCTTAGCCGCTTTGCTCGCCCGAGTGTCGCCTGCCTCTGAGGGTCTGCACTAGATGTCAGCACGCGTGTCTTGCAACAGATAAAGCTCGACCTCTTTCTTTTCCTCTCCTCGACTTTCTTTCTGCTGCGTTCTATTTTCACATGCTGCCTGCTAGCCTCCTGCTTTCGTCCTCTGGTGGTTGACTGCTTCTTTGCTGCTCGTGATGGGCTCTTGATCGGGCTTCTTCGCACTGACTGCTTGCTGAACAAGCAAGCATCGTCGTCATCACTCGCACGGAGAGAGCTTGTCCTCAGGTTCATCGATATGGTGCAGACAAAGATATCCTCCTCATACGCGAGTTTGCCCGGCGGACTGACGGGCTTATCCTTTCTGCAGGTCTTCATGGCGCTGTTGATGATCTCCTCATGCAAGCAGCGACTGATCCATCATGCTTGCTAACCCTTGTTCGGCATCGTTGACATACGATGCCAGACGTTCGAGCCTATTCTCATCCTCCTGCTCAGCAGATCAGAATTCGATCATACCACCCTTCAAAGAACTTCTTGTTCTATTCCCGAGGACACAAACGTAATGCAATGAAGCTGACTTCAATTTCATTATGCTTCTCCTCTCTGCCTGCTCGCACATCAATCATGCCCGACTAGCGACTGTTTCTTGCTTCTATCACTCCTTCGTTCCCAGCATCATCTCTTTCCCTTGACTTGGCATCGTCTCCTACTCCCTCTCCTCGTCCCACCCATTGCTTGACCATCCTCGGACTTCTCATCTTCGTTGTCTTGTCCTCTTGCTTTCTTCGACTATTCCGTTCGCCCTCCCGCGCTTCATGCCATTCCTCCCAATATCTACATTGTCCACTACCCCTCTTTCAAGCGATTTCGTGTACACTCACCCCTCAATGTATCACCCCCACCCCATAATTCTGTCAGGTACCCCAGTCACGTATAATTTGTTCCCTACATTTTTCCCATGGGGGTGCACACCACTACCCCCAAAAAATAACCCCCTACCACATGTTAATGACCCACCCTGTGGAGGTGCCTTGCATACCCTCATCCCCACAGGAAAACTCAAAAAACCTACTACCCCAGCCACTACCCCCCTGTACCCCTTTCAGACCCCCCTCTTCTCCTAGAACTACCCGTCATTCTTAGGGCTCACCCACCCGTACAACAAAGATCGACTGACAGTCATCCATTGAAGTACCCCCACCCACTTGAGATGATCGCCTTCTTGACCCACGTACCCCATCTAGATCACCCCCACCCCCTAGATATGATCTTTTTTTCATGGACCACCCCCTTCAGTTACTCCGGCTCGAGGCCCCGGGACCACCCGGTACCGTGTCGGGGTCCAGCCGCTGAGCGGCGGCCGAGGCCCCGGGGAGGGTGCGGGGGCCGCGCCGCGGCGTGTCGGCGGCTGACTCTGTGACCCGGTACTCTCAGTCTCCCGGCCGGGGTGACTCGCCTCCGAGCCGACAGGCTCCGAGCGAGTCCGCCGGGGCTCCGGGGAGGCACGGCACCGTCGGGCGGCGAGGGTCACGATGGCCGGGGATGCTTGTCCGAGTGTCGGATCGGAGGCTCGCCGGGACTCGAACTTACATACGATCGGACCGTGAGTCAAACATGATGGCCCTGCCACGAAGCCTCGGATCACATTATGTACTCGGCTCAGTTGGGGCCGGCATCGCCAGGGCTGAGTACTGGCAGGCTTAGATGGACTCTTGCAGGATAACTTGGTAATGCCGCGGGGGTGCGCTTAAAGGCCGGGCTTTCTCACGGTGGTGGCCAGCGGCACGGTCACGGTGACTGCCGCAGTGCTGCACCGTCACTGCCGGCCGCCGGGCGGCCATGAGTATGATACGCATTCGGACTGAAAAAGAAGGGCAAACCGGAGCAAACAAAGGAGGGGGAGGATAAAGCCTACAAACCCGCCTCAATAAAATACTCAGTAGGAAACGAAGGAGGCAGCGAAAACCGCTACTCCTGGTAACCCAACCGTTGAACCAGGCACTGAAGCGACGGCACTGCGCATTCACAGGATGGGTCAGGATAAAGAGCAGTAGCCTCATGATCGGAAATCTTCTGTTGGGCGGGGCCGGAGAGCGCAGAAAGTCCGACGGGGCTGCCGCTGCTGTTGTAAGGATGTGTCATCGTGAAGTCCAGAACCAGCCCGGCCGCGGCCGGGCCGCATTCCGATGATTCCCGGGTGACCTATCACCGTTACACAAGTAACGATCATACGTTATAACTGTCCCTGTTCCGAAGTGTCATTCGGCATTCCTGCCGTATTGCTGCATGAAGTAGAACAAAGAGAAGATAGAAGATGGAGAAGAAGAACAAAGATAGAGGATGGAGAAGAAGAACGAAGAGAGAAGATGACCGGAAGGGAGAAGTATAGAAACAAAGATGGGAGAGAGACGAATCAAGAGTCAGGACAGAAGGAATGAGAGGGGTTCAGCCAGACACTGTGTCGAGGTGAGGAGAAGAACTGTGAAGGCAAAGAATTGTTGAGATTCACAGAAGGCCAATCTGAGGCGAGGAGGCAGGAAGCAAACAAGGATCAATCTTCGAGGTCGATGAAGAAAAAGCTAGATGGATCTTAGAGTTTCGGTTCAACAGGCCAAAGCGATAGTTATACGTCATTTCAACTTTTGTCAATCGCCTTTCATTCGTCCCCCTCTTCCTCTGAGATAACAGCTTCTCCAGAGGTCTGCAAGAGGACGCATCGTCTCAAGATGCTCGTCACCAAGAAGTGAGCAATCGAACATTGACAAGCTCTTGCGCTCACTCGCTGCAGGCGCCTGCCAGCCCTTCTTGCCGTGCTCGGCGCCTGCTTGTTGATGGCGGCGTTGGTGGTGGTGCATCAGTATCAGGTGGTACTGGAAAGCAGCTCAAGGTACAGCTGGGGATGAGCTGTTGCTGCTGCTAATATGCGCCGACAGCAACAATTTCATCGAGCTGGAGAAGGAATACGCCAAGTTGCATCCGGTGTATATCAGATGCGCGAAGAAAGTCGACATGCCGGATTTTGTCAATGTGAGTTCAGAGAGGAAGAGGAAGCAAACGAGACAGAAGGACAGAGAGAGAGGAAGAGGTTGGGGATGGGCGAAGGAGCGAGAAGGTGACATGGAACTGATGATGTATTTCAGTTCATCCTCAAGACTTGCGGCAACATTCACGAGATTGAGCATCTGCATCATACCTGCACCAATGCCATGCGGGTTGAAAGTTTCCGTGGCATCCTCGTAGATTTGACGTCGCTCCAGGCCAAGTCGAAAGCTTTCGGATGCTGCTGGGAGACTGTGATGGAGGTCAAGCCGCTTGCTGAGCGATCCGCCGCCTGATGCTTGAGGCGCAGGCGTATGAGGCGATCGACGCCAATGTTTCTCACCAGTGGAGGCTCTGGCAGGGAACATTGAGCGGTAAGAGGAGGGAGGACAGGGGGTTGGGAGGGGGAGGGGGAGGAGGATGAGGAGGAGGGGGAAGGAGAGGATGAGCAGGCAGTTGATGAGGAAGAAGCATAATGGTGGCTCAGGCAAGGCTGGAGTTACTTTCGAGGATGAAAGCTGCGGCAACAGTGTGGGCGAAAAGGTTTCGAGCTTCACATGGGTGGATGAAGGAAATTGATGGATCAACAGGGTTACAATCAACTGAAGAAGGAGGTTGGAGATCTCACTCGAGTCGTCGCTCGGCAGGAGGACTACATCGATCAAGTTCAGGTGCTTCCTCCACCTTCGCTCCTTCTTTCCTTGAACTCTCTGGCCTCACTTCCCAGTCTCGTACTACAGTGCTCTCTCCCCTCTCCCGCCTCCTCGACTCCTTGCCTCCTTGAAGCTGACATGCTCCGTTACAGCGTCGCGAGCTTGAGCTCGAGCGGATGATCTCTTCTCAGAGATATCACTACTACGACCCCTACTACTACGGTACCACACGCGTGTCCCCTCGCCTCTCCTACCCATCAGTCGATCTCTCGCTCTTTCTTCTCCTGCTCCTCTCCTTCCCCATCGTCTTCTCTGTGCTTCTAGCATTTCCTGAGTAACTCGCAGGGCACTACGACAGTCAGGGCCGCTGGGTTGCGCCCTACCGCTCGTATGATCCCTACACAGGTGAGCAGGAAGGGGAGGAGGCGGGGGAGGGGGTGACTCGGAAGCAGGCTATGACAGCACAACCGGGATGTACTGGAAGGATGGCAGACCAGCGTCGCTTGCTCGCACAGAGGAATCGAAAGACGCCTCGCTGCCTGCGCCTCCGACGAAGATGAGCAAGCACAAGGAGGAGCAGGCAGACCGACGGCTGAGCATGAAGAGGGAGAAGGCGAGCACGCAGCAGAAGAGCCTCTGGCCTTCATGGCGGGACTGGCTCTTGATCAGCGCGATCCGCAATCACAATGTCTTGCCTCCTCCTCCTGCCCCTCTCCTCCCGCTCACAAAACTTCCCAGGCTGCAGCAGCGTCAGCGTACGAGGCTGCAAGGAGAGCGGACGCGGCAGCGAGAGAGCATGCAGACATGGCGAGCGCGTACAAGCAGCAGAGCAATGACATCAGCTCCAAGTACAAGCTTGTTCGTTGTCCTCCTCGTCGCGCATGCTGACTCCTCTCTCCTCCTCCTCGTGCTCTCAGGTACTCGGATGTCGTGGACTCGCACAAGGCAGCGCTGGATGCAGCCGGCATCGCCAAGGAGGCTGCCGACTACGCGGAGACAGCGAGGACCGAGGCAGAGCAGCACAGAGACATCGCTAAGCATGTCGCCTATTCCTCCTCCTCCTCCTCCTCCTCCTCTCACTCTCACTGCAGGCTCGTGACGTCGCCGTCACTGCCGTGTCAGCCACGTCTGGCGGAGCTCCTCTTGTCCCCTTGTCCGGCACTGTCCCTCCCACCGGCGGTACTGCCGCTTTCTTCGCGCAGGTGACTCGTTCGTGTTGTGCTGGGGGCGAGCTGAGAGATGGCAGAATGACCCCGCGGACAAGGGCGTGAAGGTTCTGCGCAAGCAGGGCGTCAACGTGTGAGAACGAGGATGAAGAGGAGGGGGGGGAAGGGAGGGGACGAGGGGCAGAGGCGTCAGCGGGTCTATACTTGTCGTTTTTACAGAAAGGAAATCAAAGAATATCGCGTCACTTATTTACACTCGTATTGACTTGTCTGCTCCTCCCTCTCCTCCTCTTCCGCTTCCTTCGCCGTGTCAGTATCACACGAGTTCCAATCTTCCCTGTATGCCTCCTCCTCCTCCTTGGGCTTCTTCAGTCCGCCTCTTCAAGCGCCGCGAACATGTTGGCCTTGACAGCTGATCGCTTGTCTCGTGCTCCTTCCTTGGAGCCTGCAGCTTGTCAGTCGCAGAAACCTCAGCAGAAGCTGCTCACGAGTTCCCTGCCTCTCCTCCTCGCTTCCCTTCTGCTTCCCCTGGCTTCCTCCTCTGCCCCTCGACCTCTGCGCCACCGGGGACGGCGATCCTCGCGCCTGCGCCTCCAACACCCGCAGCCCTGAGTTGACACGCACGTCGGAGCTGGCAATCAGCTGAAGGTTGTCGTTGTCAAACTTAAAGGCGACCATGGAGTCACCGAGCTTGAAAGGACTGAAAGAAAATGTCAGGCTGATTTTCCACGTGAGTAAAGGTGTAGAAGCAAGCGATGAGGAACACGGAAATGGGTTGTTTGTTTTGTTTTGTTGTTGTTGTTGTTGTTGTTGTTGTTGTTGATGATGATGATGATGATGATGATGACGTACGCGGTGTGGTTCCAGATTTCTCTTCTCAGCTTCTCCCTCATCGCCTTGCTGAACGGTCGGCGGCTCCTCAATCTCTCGGTGAAGACCTGGACCAGCGTCAGGGAGGCAGCTGGAGAACAGCTGGGCGAACCTCTTGGAAGTCAGGGAAGAATCTCATGCTCCCTCCTCCCATGCTCAGACACTCAGCTATGGCGTTCTGCACCTTGACGAAGCCCTCGTGGTCTCGCTGGCTGCTGCTGCCCCTCTCCTGGAGTCCCGTCAATCCCTCCCTCTCCTCCAGGAGGATACGCACGCCAGCAGAGAAGAGCCAGTTGAGGTCCGTGGGCCCGGGCATGAAGGAGGACTGGAAGTGCATGCCCCATAGCGACTTGGTTCGCTCCAAGAACGCGAGCCAGTGCTGCATGCAGCTGTGAATCTGCAGAGAGAGTCAGAGCCCGACACGAGGAGGCGCACAAAGACGAAGGGAGATGGAGCAGCAAAGCAGGAGCAGCAAGGAGCTACACGAGAATTCAAGGGAAGAAGAGGGAAGGAAAGGTAAGGTAAAGTAAGGTAAAGTAAGGTAATGGAAGGTAAGGGAAGGGAAGGGAAGGGAAGGGAAGGGAAGGGAAGGGAAGTACCTGAACCAGCTTCTCGGAGGAAACGTTCTGCTCTCGCTTCTCCTTCTCGTCTATCTCTGGGTAGATCCTCTGACGCTTGAACTCCGTCATCTCTCTCGAGAAGTCCTCCAAGTCCAGCAGCACTGTGAACCCCCCGTGCGTTTTGTTCTCCTTGCGGAAGAGCACTCGATCAAGCATCAGCCCCAACGAGGGCGCCAGCGGCACGTAGTGCCGACTCTGATCATGAACGATGTCGTGGACGAACTGGACCCTCTCGTCGTCCCTCTTGTACCTCAACGCAAAGATTGCCAGCCCCACCATCTTTCTGATCTGATGGTAGATGAACGAGTCGCCCTCAACCTCCAACCCCAGGTACTCCACTCCCTCAGCGTTCACTCGCTTCTGTCCTGGCACGAACCTGCTCACCACACGCTGGGTCTCTGTCGGCCCCTCATCGGAGCATTTGTCTGCCGTGAAGTTGTGGAAGTCATGAGTCCCCTCGTAGATTCTCAGCACGGCTGCGATCTTGGCGATCTCCTCGTCTGAGATTCTGAACGTCTTGGGGTCAACGTTTCTCTCGCTCATCACCAATGCAGAGGTCGGGCACTGCCGCAAAGTCAGCTCGGGGACATGGAGGGCATCGGAGCATCACCTGGTACTCGTAGATTCTTCCCGTCGCGTCTCTACGAGCATCGAAGCGAGTAATGCCAAGGCCCAGGGAGGGGTCGAGTCTCCTGTCGTCGTAGAATCCTTTCGGCACTTTCTTGATCCCATACACGACGATGTCTGATTTCTCAAGCGGAGGAGATTTCTCTTGGGCTTGACGATCCAAGCATTCGTTCAGCGCCTTCACAATGTTCGCTTGCTGCTCCTCCCAAGTTTTGCCCGCAAAGTTCAGCTGCATCGAGAGAGCAATGCATTGCCCGACCGCATGAACTCCCTTGTCGGTGCGGCTCGCATGTGTCCACTTCACTTTAGAGAGATCCCCATTCTTCAGGCCGAACTCATTCTGAGTGATGCCAGACTCGTACACAAGGGCCCCGCACTTGATCAGCGCACTCTCCAGCTCTTGCTCGATGGTTGGAGGACCCTTATCGTGTTTCTGCAGACCGTGATAGCGGGACCCAACATACCCGCACAGCACAGCACAGACCTCACCAGGAAGGCTGGCCTCTCTGACATCGGAAGTACTAGACTCAGAAGCTGCCATAGAGACAGTAGGAAACACGGGATTCAGAGTGCTTGGAAACATCCCAGGCTGTAAGTTAGCTTGGTTGAAGCTGGTAGATCCAACACCGCCATCCTGAAAGCGAGCAAAGAGATTTTGAACAGCAGGAGCCATCCTCTCTTGTTCCTTGGAGTCATACATCTCCTTCCCCTGGGGAAACACAGGAGCATACATGTTGGACCGGCCGTTCGGTTCAAAGGGGTTGACAAGAGGTCTTCTTAAGTCAGGCCTGCTCTCGTCAGCCTCTCTCAGCATGGCTTGGTTGAAGGGCGGGGGCCCCGAGGGAATCTGTGTGAAGTTCTGAGGAAGGCCCATGAAGGTTTGTTGCCCGACGAAAGGAGGAGGCATAGGTTGACCGGGAGGAGGCATAGGTTGACCGGGAGGAGGCATGGGTTGACCGGGAGGAGGCATGGGTTGACCAGGAGGAGGGGGTGCAGCATGAGGCATCCGCATTGGCTGTGGCGTGGGAAGAATACCGTTAGCAGCAGGAAAATTGTTCATGGCCATGAATGGCTGCGGCATCATCTTTGCAAGGGGTCTCAGTTGTGGTCACTGAGATGATGGGATAACCTGTGGAGGCATAGGCATGGCACCAAAGAGGGTAGACAACGATATTCTTGTTCCTCCTAGCATGTTCCTGCCGTATCATCACTCAGTCCCACGATGAAACGATTTCAAAAAGATTACATGTCCTCAACACTGACAATATTCTGTAAACCAGAATAGTTTCCTGCAAGACATCGTTTTCAGAACGACAATGAACGCAGCTTCGAGCGTCAAGCTTGAACAGAAGAAAATCATCAAACAGGTGGGTGGCGGGCTCGAGGGGCAGCAGCGGATTACCCGTCCGAATCGGGTTGTTGGCGTAGGGTGCAGAGGATTCATTCGCCGAGTTTGCAGGAAACTTGTCGGCAGCCACGTCAGATCTCGTCGGTTGGCTCTCGAGAGGCCGTTCAGCTGGCTGCGAGGGGGGAGGGCGAGCGCTGTCCACGATGGTGCTTGTGGTGACTGTGGATGCTTCATTCGATGGCTGCTCGTCTCTGGGCGCAGCTGCTTTTCCGCCTTCACCCTTTGCGGCAGTCGATCCGACGACCTGGCACGACCCTCACTCACTCTCACCCTCCCCCTCGCTCCCTGCCGGCTGGTCTACCTGGAAGTCCTGGGTGAGGCTCAGACACAAGTCTATGGCCACGTCGATCGGCACGTCAGGGCCCTCTTGAGCAAGAACCGTGCTGGATGAAAGAGTCACAAGAAAGAGTCACAAGACCGAATGAAGCGAATGATGCTGATGAAGTAGACGGACACATTGTTCGTCAAAACACCTCCCCCAGAATTCCAGCAAGCATTCCAGCAACAAGCAGGTACCTTATCAGGTTGTTGTCAAACCCCATGGCCTTGAGCTGGCCTCTGATCTCCGTGCCCGTGCTGCTCCTTCGTGACGACGAGTCGAGGGACATTGCTGACTGTCTTCGCAGGTACTACAAGGTCGAGTTGGATCCGCCTATCCGCCGCTGCATTTCATTCCTGCTGCCCCTCTGTCATTGACTCCATCAACTACCAATACATCTGGGACATGTCTAAATCCATCTGGGACAAGTCTCACTCTTCTCATATTTCTACACATTCTATTCGCTGCTCCAGCCTTTCATGCCTACCTATCTCCAACTTCAATTGAACTGACGCTTCTGTACCTCTCCCTCCACTCCTCTCTCTTGCCACCAACCGCACCAACTCCGACCTTAATTTCCCCACACTCTAATACACTCCCTCCCATTCTAATGTCCCTTCCATTCCCTTCCCATCTTCACCGCTCTACTCATATCACTACCATCTTCCATCAAATATACCACTCCTCTTCTCCCACCACCTCCTCCTCGTTTGACTCGCCGGGACTCCCTCGCCTGCTCATTCCATTGCCCTTGCCCCCCTCACCCCCCAATTCTCCTATCGTACCCCAGACTTCTCCCTCCCCTCCCCTCTCTCTTCTCTTCCACGTGTCTTGTCTCCTGTCTCCTGTCTCCTGTCTCCTGTCTCCTGTCTCCTGTCTCCTGTCTCCTCTCTTCCTCTCTGTCTCGATCTCGCTTCCTCGCCCTCCAAGTTCGCATGTTTTGAGTGCAGCCGCTGCGGAAAAATCAGTCAACCATACAACGATCCTACTAGTGTACAAATTATACAAAAACCGAATAAATTATGTAATTTTGTGCGTAATTATATAGTTTATGTATAATGTTATTCCTTTATAACGTGTGTCGGGGTAGCGTCATGCTCCCCCAAGAGAGCATGACAGAGAGATGGAGATGATGATGATGATGATGATGATGATGATGATGATGATGATGATGATGATGATGATGATGATGATGATGATGATGATGATGATGATGATGATGATGATGACTGATGATGACTGATGATGACTGATGATCGATCGAGTGAT